CCAGAGTGCTATAATGCTGCTTCATATATGTAACATATATATATATATATATATATATATATATATATATATATATATATATGTGTGTGTGTGTGTGTGTGTGTGTGTAATATATATCTCTCTTAGTTTGAGATTATAAATAAGTACATATGAATGCAGGTACATGCCTGTGTCTGTATGAGCATGAGTGCATGTATGTATTTGAATGAGGGTATGTGTTTATGTATGTATGCATATATATATATATATATATATATATATATATATATATATATATATGTGTGTGTGTGTGTGTGTGTATAGTGTATATGTGTCTAGGTGTGTATGGGCATATAAGAGTGTGTATGTTCATGTACGTGTCTGTTTTTGAGTGTGTATGATTATGTAAATATGACCTGTGCATGTATTATTTAATTATATACATTTTATATAAAAGTAAATGCATTATTGATAACATGCAATAGTGCTCTGAAAGATAAGTGCTTGAAAAGGGCCGAATGTAAGACGGGCCTGGGTGCCCATATTGTAAATCTTTGAAACAAAAATTTTCGTTTTTTCCAAACTCAACTCAGCTCAGCCTATGGTTAGAATACAACCACTACTTATTTAAATCTTCAGATTAATAATATTTTCTCTAATCTTCAGTTCAGCCTAGGTTTACCTATAGAATTTACTATCACACAGATTTACCCAAAGCTACAACATAAGGTCGGAGGAAGAGCCAGAACGATATAACATCTTGGATCGATTCTAGAAATGCGCAGTTTTGTGCTACTTGATAACGATATTTACATATGAATATGTTTATGATGTTTCTGTTTGATGGATACGATATTAATCCAGGATTGCTTAACTAATGGGAAATGCGTCTTGTGTACCTATTGAGGTCAGATAGAATAAAGACAGTCTGGGAATTATATTCGTTTTATTTGTAGCTTCCTGAGTTTTGTTTGTATTGATTTAACAGGAAAGTTCTGTGTAGAACTGAAGGAACAACATTACAAAGCGTTAGGATTGCGTTTGTTAGTTATAAAATACACGAACAGTGTCTAGTTTGACATTCAAAATCACTGTAATTCAAGTGTTAAATTATTAAAATTGCAAAACAGAATAACTTACGGCTCAACAAATCACTTGACAGTTCTTATGCATCTGGGTCACTGATAATTTCTAGACTTACGGTCTTGTGCGCCAACAAATTAAAAAAGGATAACTATGCGTTTCCTTTTTTAGTACTATAGAAAGTATCCAGTACTACAGGAAGTACTTAGATATCATTGTACCATATGAGAGGATTTCAAATGAAAACCTCAAAAAGCCTTATAGAAAATTACAGTAACCATGTTATTGTCTAGTCACCTGTCAGTACTGTTGTCAAGGATGTAAGGAGTGTTAAGCATATGACGTAATGGTGCAGACGAACTCGGTGACCTCACAATGACGAATGACAGTTTCAAAATGGTCACCCCACTTTTCTCCTTCGCCAAAAAGGAGTAGCGTTCTGTTATTCGTTGTCTGTTTGTGTGAGACTGTGTGTGACTGTGTGTGTGTGTGTGTGTGTGTGTGTGTGTGTGTGTCACTGTGTGTGCGTTTGTATATGTGTAGTAAACCAGTTAAGGGATAAAACTTATAGAAGTTTACTGGCAAATGAAGATCCAATATGGCAAAGATGCCTTTCAGCCCAGCAAGTTTATGACGGAGTAGAACATTTCAAACGGTTTAGCTTCTGTGACAGACTGCACCAGCATATGCCAAACCCGTTCATAAAGAGTCTGTCACAAAATCACGCGATGCATGGCAGTAAATAACTGGAAAGTCACGCGACAGTGAAAAATTATGTGGAAGCTGCAAAGATTTCGCTCATTTGGTGTTGTTGTCAATATCATGCAAGCTGACTTTGCATTCACATCTGACCAAAGAGCCAGGAAGCAAATGCTATTTCCACTGTGTCACCACCGCTTTCCTGTTAAACGACACTCAGTAGTGTTATTCTATTTGTTTATACATGTGAGGAAGTTTAGTTTAAATATTTCTCCAGCCGAGGCTAAGACAGAAACACTAACAAGTGTAAATATCATTTCATTTATTAAATCCAACATTATAACATTCGAAACCCCCCAGTCTTAAATGTGTATCCGGTAAAGTCCTGGGAAGTAAAGCCGGCCGGCGTGATGTTGACTGCAACACTCACCCATTGCTGACTGCTCCATACAGTTTAGGTCTAGCACCATGTTTATGTTTTTTTTTCGACGGATCAACATCATAGCACACGGGTGTAATCCATAAGTGCTCCGTTTTTCTTCTAATTCAAGCCTGAGTGAGAAATCTGAGCGCAGTGCAAGAACTCCGTTCCACCGACGAGGATCATGAAATATTTTGGGTAGATTTGTAAGTCGAAATTTAGCCCGGGAAGCACCGTTAGGCTACTCTTTTCGATTTTCAACTGCCAAGGTATTTTTTACGTGCACAAGAATATACACAGGCGTCTGATACTACTATCCAAAGACCAGAGAAAATTACTAAGGGTCCACTCAGCCCTACCCCCCCCCTCCCCCCTACCCCCCCCCCCCCCCATGTCTAGCACTATAAATCATATATACCTAAGGGCGTGAAAAAGAATACTTCTAAAAATGTTAAAACATTTCAAGTTTTAGATAATGCTATATATGCTGCTTTTTCTTCTGCGTTTCTAGCCCCCAATAGAGCATAAGCCCTCAACTAACTCATGCCATGTCGTTCTTTCCTTCGCCATCGCAGGCAGCTCTGCCCATGTCCTCCCATCTTTTTTATTTACTCTTCAGCTGCCTTTTCCATGTGCCGAAATGGACTCCTTTCGGCGTTCTCCAAAACCATGCCATACTCGAAGAGCCTCCATTATATTCGCTGGACAGACTTCCGGTCAAAATGGACGCTAGGCAGGAGCACTGTTTGGAGCCGAGGCAACATTTTTGACTTCTGCCGGACGGTAGCCGATGCATTTTTGCTCCATTTGTAGACTGAAAGGATATAGTTTCGTCGCCCAGCTTCTGAGCTGAATGCATGGCGTGACACTGTAAGCTGCCGATTTCATTTGGAATGTTTTTTTCGACTGTGACCAACATGCAACGTGGTGGTGTGAATTGTAGATTCAGAAAAAGGCGCAATGCCTGTCGTGCAATGTTGGTGGTAAAGATGTGATTAAAATTGATCTCTTGGGCAACTGCTAATCTGTTGGTGACTTCTGCTACCATCTATGAAGAACTGCATTTCTAATGTCGAATCGTTTGTGTTAGCACTTCGGATGCCTACCGTATGCTTTTAATGCGTGTCTATGCTAGTGCATATGCTGAGACAGCAGTCTATCAGTCTTTCCACAAGGGACTGTGATAAACATTATGTTTGTTTTTCGTTGGCACAGGAGCGGACCAAAGATGGGGTGACCCGTTTGCTATGAAGCTGAAACTAAGATTACCAGACAACCAGACCAGACTTATCTTCGCTGGCTGGGTTTCTCATGTTTCTCTTTTTGACATTTCCGTGATTGGTTGGTTTCTGTGGCTATTGGGTTTCTGTGGCTATTGTTTTTTACAGGATTAGGTGATCGACCCTATCCTAAGCTGCCTTTTACGACATGCCTGCTAGGTGCAGTGTTAGTATTCTGTGTTTCCTGTGAGGGCCCAGATGACACACCGGCGATATCTGCTGCTCAGAGGGTAGAAAATAGTTGTTCTTCTTTGCGTTCACCGCCGCTGGAAAGTCTTCGTCGGAAAGATTTAGCTTGGTGGTCCACTTTTGGACTGTAGTCTTGTTCCAGAATCGGTAATGTTTGTACACATCGATTTTACTGAGCCGGCCCTCTTACATGCAGACTGTTTTTTTCTTCCCTCTGCAAGAAGATGCACTCCGACTTGCAGGAAAACCCTAATTAATTGACACTTACGACATACTTATAAGAGAAGCAGTGAGTTTTGTCCTGTTTTCCACAGATTTGGACCCCGGAACCTACACGAGAGTTGAGAAATCTAATACAAGTGGCTGAAAAGTTGTTTCCGATAGACGAAGCGCTGAAATAACACATACTTCCAATGCAGTCCCTACATGATTTTGTCGACCGAGCGGCATAGTTTGCGGGCTAATGTGGATGTATACACATTGTTTAACCGGTGCACATTCTAAGTAACTGAGAGACGCCGTGGTCTAGTTGCTAGACGCTCGCATGCGGATCGGAAGGTCGTGGGTTCGGGTCCTGATTGGGGTCGGACTTTTTTTTCCTTTTAAAAAGGACTTTGGCTCCCAGCTGACCTAGCCTTGAGTGGGTACCAGATGCAGTCTTCGAAAGTAAAGGCTACCGGCGTGAAGCTGACCACATCACCCATCAAGTGTCTAAGTCTATACAATACAAGCCCAGCCCTATATATCCAAAAGGGACGTCTCATGTCGACCAGCCTAAAATGAGTAGCTAAATGTATGTCCTGAAGAAGTAAAGACGGCCGGCGTAATGCTGACCACATGACCCACCTAGTGCTGATTGGTCTGTACAAATATGGGTGCTCTTCCCATACGCCTAAGGGCGTGAAAAGGGATCTTTACTTTTACTTTATATCCAATACGTCTGAAGTCATTATCCTCCGCCTCAGAACAGGGCACAACCGATTACGTAACCAAATGTACACAAAATTCAAGATGGGCGTATCAGCCATGTGCACCTGTGGAAATGTGCCCCAGACAGCAGAGCATGTACTCCAGGACTGCACCGATTTTGACACATTAAGGCAAACCTTTTGGCCAGAAAGAACAACAGTGGAACTTAAACTCTATGGACCACTGAATGAACTAACAACGACGGTGAAATTTATTCAAGAGACAAAACTACTGATGTAGACAACTTATTTCAGGCGAACGAAAGAAGAAGAAGAAGACGTCTGAAAGCGTGGAGAAGAGTCATTTACTTTTATTTTACGTTCTATGTAATTGTTCACGCCAAACGCCGATGTTAATACAAACCTGTTTGTTCTCTCCAGTGCGCTACGGGACTTGGTACAAACCCCCGAAGACTCCCAAAGAGGCCCTAGCCATGGGATACAAGCGAATGAACGGAATATGTCAGAGTGAGTAATTTATATTATTATATGTTAATAACAATTGAGCCGCTTTAGCGAAGTCGATAGGAGACTCGCTTTCTAATTCAGCTGCCACTCGTTGCAGCCCACGGCCGGTGTTCGAAACCGGGCGGTTCCCGGGGTTCACTCTGACTCTAGGTAACACTCTGAGGTAAATGGAGGAACGTGGCTGTAGCTTGTCACGTTCAACAAGCATTCCGACGGAGGAGCTTTAGGTTACAATTGTGACCAGGTTATGTGGGCGATATAAAATGGCTTAACATTGCACGTCAGCAAGAGTTCTGAAAAAGAATCCTGCAGTATTGATGCGATCAAAGGAGACAGCATCAAATAATGTCCGAAAGGCAGCAAAGGCGTCTATCGGCGAGCCAATGGGTGACCCAGTCGCAAATGAATTCAAATTTAACAGAAAAAGTTGTGGAGGACCATTCACAAGCGGCTAAACGCTGGCCCTGAGCCAAAATGTCATCGTCTGAAACTCTTAAAGTGTTGGATTTGTTTTCTTTCAACAATAAGATTGGTTTTCAGGTTGACCCAATCTAAAAAGGTATAAGGTCAAGTTCTAGGAAGTAAAGGCGGCTGGTATGATGTCTAAATCAGCCACCGAGTGCCGATTGGTCTATAAAATATAGGTATAGCTCTATATACCCATTCTGCCTAGGCGCGTGCCATAATGACTTGGGGAGAACGGTAGAGGAATATAGAGTTGCCAGAAAGAATAAAATACTAAGGCCGACCGGCACAACGACGGATGTGCACACACACACAACAACAACAAAAAACCATGAAACAGGACGAGTTAAACAGAAACAACCGTGTGTGTGTACTTGAGTGTTGTTACTTGTGAGGTGAGTGTGTATGTGCGTATTTGGTGCACATTTTCTACCTTTTTATTCATAGATAAAGACTAGGTAAAACGTTCGACTGTGTCTATGTGTGTCTGTCTCTTCACTCATTTTTCCTACACAGTAACACATTGCCTGCTGGGTCCTGTCAGTTTATCTGTGCTATCTTTATTTTGTATAAGCAACCAGTGTAGAGCTGAAGTCGAGATGATCTACTGTATTATATGTGATTTAACCTCATATAGTACGTTTTTCGTTGTTGTTGACTAAATGGCTAGCTGTCTTCAGAGACAGAGGCGCGCAAAGCACGACATACTTAAAACCGGCAACTATCTCCAGGAAACTCAATAACAGTTGCAAGCTCATGAACCAAAGGACGCAATACGTGGAAAAAGAAGTTTTTTTTTTTTTTTTTTAAACTTGCTCAATGACAATCTGACCATCAGCATTTCTCAAGAAATCGATGTTTCCATCTGAATAAAAAACTTACATTAGCCGTCTAAGTTGGTACTGGAAGTTCTTTTCATATATTCGGGAGGAATGCTCTCAAACACAGACTATTGAAATATGGCTTTTGTAGGGGATTGTATTTATATGTCAAGGTTAGTCACTATTAAACAGAGAGAACATCGTGAATCTCAAAACGTGACTGATCATACGTTAAACATGATAGTGAAGATGGTATCCCAAAAAGAGGCAGACAAAGAGAAATTATGGTGGACGGTTTAAGACAGTGGCATTGAGAAATAACATCAGTGGAATTGATTCAGAACACCAAAGACCGAGATATGTGGAGATGTATGAACGCTTACGCCAGCTGGCAAGACACTTGATGATGTTGATCCCCAAAAAGTAGAGTTTATTTTTCCACACTAAACACACACACACACACTGACACACATAATCACCATCATCAGCATCATCATTCTATTTGTCCCGTTAGACTTTACATAGGTCTCGCATTGTCTGGGGGTTTTCATCTTTGCCTCTCTTTATTTTTTTTACTCAACAGAACAATACCATTTGCGAAGTCAAGATCTTCCAGTTGTCTCTTCTCTACCTAAATAGTATTGATTGCCTTTGTAATATTTTTTTTTCATCACCCAGTCAATGACTACTTCAAACAACAAGGTAGAGAGAATGCAGTTTCTCTCCAGGGTCAACCAAAAACCAGTCATTTAGACCATTTTCAGTGCGCACTGCATACTCTGAACCATCGTATAATATCTAATAATCCATATTATCTTGCCTATACATATACATATACTTTTGTATGTGTATGCATGTGTGTGTATGTGTGTAAGAAAACGTGATTCGACTGAATGTTTTTGAAAAGTTATCTTTAGATGGCTACTGAACTGTTTAATAAGGGCGAGAAAGGAATGAATCTGGGAGCTAACGTACTACGTTGCGTATATGACGTTGACTAAACCCTAACAAGGGCTGTTGTGTGAAATTCTCTAGGCAAGTTACATCCAGTAGTTTGCTATTGCTTAGCCACAGAGCCGACGCTAACGTATAAAAAAACTAAAAAAAAGGTCAGAACTCAATGATATGACGATTAAATGATGCGAGAACTAGAGAAATGATGAATAAATAATATGATAACTAATTGATATGAAAACTAAATTATATGAGAAGTAAACTAAATTACACGGATGGGTGAGACTGTATGTGAGCCACACGTGATAATAGCAGACGATAGGACGATTTTTATTTTTAATGTTATCATATTTCATGTCAATGCAGAATGGGCATTCTCATACGGTTCCATGGAACTGTCAACCCCAAAATACGGAGGTACTTTCGTTCTCCAACTTAACTGGTTCTTAAATGTTAAAAAACTGAAACATTATCCCAGTAGCAATTAGTATTAAACTGATTAATTCGTTTATTAACTTAAGATGACTGCTTACATACAAAAAGTATCCCTTATAGTAAATTTCTGTAATGACCTCTTCTTATGTTGTTACTTTTCTCAAACATCTCATTTAACACTTTCCATGCCAGGGGTATTAGAGAGTCAACAAATAGTAAGCTTTGGTATCTGGCACCGTAAAATAATTCAGCATGAAAAGCCAAAAGGCTGTGAACAAGTGTTGAAAGAAAGCAATAAATAATTAGCCAGCCACGCTGGAAGAAAAACTCATTAAGAAGAAATATAAAACAATATGGAGAAATTTAAGGGGATGAGTTAAGAGGATTTGGCGGGCATTCGTTGAGCGTCTATGCTTTATTAGTGTTCAGAAGTAATCAGCGAACAAAAAGGGAAAGAGAGCGGGGATGATTGATGCTCTTCTCCTAGAAGGATTGAAGTGCTACATAGAAAGGTATGGTACAATTGAAAAGAACAGTAAGACTTAGCACAGTTGATAGGAATCTATGTTCCACTTCAAAATACGGAAGACAGTAAGAAGACGCCCACTGATTAGCATTGATGAGTGTCCTAAATGAACTACTCCTTTTCCATGAAGCCACTAAAAGACTGACACTCACACATAAGCCCGATACACCAGTAAATATTCACACTTAACGAGATGGCATCGAACACAGCAACTCAAGTTTCCATATCTACATTTTTTCTAGTGTTTACAACTGAACCTAAAGGTTTTCTATGCTGACCACACTTCCGAGCGACGTGCCAAGTCTGTGATCCCTCTGCTTTCACTTTAAAATGTATTTATTTCACGTACAAAATCTCGAAGCTGGGGCTGTGTTTTATGTTCCTTCTGTGGTAACTATCATTCAGTTTGAAACTGCACCGAGGGACAGTGTTCCCGGGTTAATTCCACCCTCGGACGTGCGATAGATTCGTGTACAAGACGCGTGATACAGACCAGGCTATCGTGAGTTAGTCTCAGAATGTGCATGCAAGCTTAGTGTCCACTAAATCCTGCTTTACATTTCCGTGACCGGTTTCGGGAGTTGCTATAAAACAAAAAACATAGGGATGTGTAGTTTACACAGGGGATCAGAAAAAAAAAAAAGGATTCAGTTAAGTGTTTGTGAGTGCGCGTATGAAATAGTTAGTAGCTTACTAAAAAGAAAAAAATTGGTTGGAGGTAGGAAGACACACACACTGAGTGAGTGTGTGTGTGAGAGAGAGAGAGAGAGAGAGAGAGAGAGAGAGAGAGAGAGAGAGGCAGCAGGGAGCTCGCAAACAGGCGCGCACATACACACACACATACAGAGAGAGAGTGAGAGAGAGAGAGAGAGAGATAGAGAGAGAGAGAGAGAGAGAGAGAGAGAGAGAGAGAGAGAGAGAGAGAGAGAGAGTGAGTGAGAATTGATGGCTGAAACGAAAGCAGACATCTTTGTAATTTGTAACCATGCAGTCACTCAGACATACGGATAGACGGGCGGGCAGGTAGGAGGATAGACAAAAAGATAGACATATAAGCAGATACCACAAAGGAACGAACGAACGAATTTTATTTTATAGACAGACCGACAGACAGACAGACAGACAGATAGTCAGACCGACCGACAGACAGACAGACAGACAGACAGACAGACAGACAGACAGACAGACAGACAGACCGACCGACCGACCGACCGATAGACCGACCGACGGACGGACGGACGGACGGACGGACGGAGTGACGGACGGACGGAGGGACAGACAGACAGACAGACAGACAGACAGACAGACAGACAGACAGACAGACAGACAGACAGACAGACAGACAGACAGACAGACAGACAGACGGACGGACGGACGGACGGACGGACGGACGGGCGGACGGACGGACGGACGGACGGATGGACGGACAGACGGACAGACGGACAGACGGACAGACATAGTGATGGACAAATATATTTTAGTGGATAACTGGAGGGATGGACGTTGGTTAAAAGAATAGCTGGTTGGGTGGATATGTGTCTAGGTAATTATTAAATAAGTATGCCAGTAGATAGAGAATGAAGAAAGAAATAAGAATACTTGTCTAGGTGTATAACCTTATACTGTTTTAATTTTAAAGTAACATTTCATGCAGTTATTGTGTATTGCTCGGCGCCCGTGGCTTAGGCGTTGCCAACGTGCTTTGTAAAGCCGGGGTGCCGGGTTCGATCCAGCTGTCGACGATTTGTCTTGCGCTGGTTTCAACGGTGGTAGCGAGAGTTGACCGTTTAGTTGGCAATGGCAAACTACTGAACGTAAAAAATTGCCTAGAAAAACCACAACAGCAACAACAAAAAATTGATGCGGTAGTTCTGCAATGTTTTGTAAAGGATACACAACAAACTCTGTACTGCAGTCTTGTTTCTGAATCTAGCATGTAAGAATATGTGCCAGTCAAACGAAGAACATATGCAAATCTGCGACCATCTATCCAACCTAAGGATAGAAAGTTTAGTTGCGTATCCTTTACAGGACGTTGCAGAACCAACCCCAACAGCCCCTGGCTGTTGTGTGGTTTTTCTAGACAAATTTACCTCTAGTAGTTTGTCATTGCTTACTGGACGGTCGGCTTTCTTGATACCACTGTCGAAACCAACGCAAGGCGCATGGCCCGCAGCTGGGATCGATCCCGGCATCCCGGCATTACGAAGCGTTCGCATCGACTTAGAACCACAGAGCCGACAAGGAAAGAAAACCCGTGAGAAAAAACAAAAACTGGAACGATTGATTTTTTATCTTACGTCATGGAGACATGTTTTACAACTTTACAATATCAGAGAATCGCCTCATGTTGTCTCATCGTGCCGAATCAAATGCCAACGGTGTTTGACACCAGTTACGGTCTCCTCGAGCGGTATTTATTGGAGATTTCAAGCACTTGAATTTTATCTGGCCCAGCGGCCAACAGGCTTACATGTGGGAAGTCGAGGAAATCTAGTCTTGTCGAAAGCGCTGATCCTAGGGGTTTCTAGAAATGTAATGATGTTTATTTAAATTATTGCCCTTGCCGACTTGTGGCGTGATTGAAAGCAGGCCTGACGTATTTGGGCACAGGCTCTGAAAGCAGGGGCCGGCTATCGTCAGCCATGTTGTCTTCTTGTTTGCATAATTAGTAGGTCGGCGTTCTTAATCATTTGCGATTAAAAGTAGGTCACGTTGCAGAATTTGGGAGAAAATGTCGAGGAGTTTGAGGGCATTTAGGGATCACAAATTAGAATGAATAATGGCAATTATGAAAGTAGCATGCGGACATTGAGAATGGCACTAATGCTGTAGTGAAATCCGGTTCACTTCGTTCAGCTGGTGTCATTTCCTTCTTTTGTGCGTTAATTTATGTGTTTTATCCGTTGATATCCCCCTCTTGTCGGCTCTGTGGCTTAGTCGATGCGAACGCTTCGTAATGCCGGGGTGCCGGGTTCGATCCCAGCTGCAGGTCATGCGCCTTGCGTTGGTTTCGACAGTGGTATCAGGAGGCCGACCGTCCAGTAAGCAATGACAAACTACTGGACGTAAATTTGCCTAGAGAAATACACAACAACCAGGGGCTGCTTGGGTTGGTTCTGCAACGTCCTGTAAAGGACAGGCAACTAACAACTAACATCCCCCTCTTACAGCATATGGCAGTCCCAGTCAGCAAAAAGAGACATCTCCTACAAAGCATATTCATTCCCACTCAATGCTATCAGTGCCAAACGTGGTCACTCAGAACAAAACATAAAAGTAAATTAGTAACAATGGAAATGAGGTGTCTGAGAAAGACTGTAGAAGTGACCAGAAGAGATGAAATCAGGAATGAGGTCATACGAGATCAAGTCGGCACAGAATCAATTCTAAACTACATACAAAGACAGCAAATTAAATTATATGCCCACTTGGAAAGAATGCCTTGTGATGCTATATCAGACAAGATATATAACAAAGGATGAAAAGGGCGAAGAGCAAGAGGTAGACCAAGAACTTAATGGGAAGATAACCTCAGAGAAGAGCCAGAAGAGCACGAAGCAGGACACTATATCTCCCTCGACACCTGAAGCGGTAAAAGAGGACATAAAGAAGAAGATCCTTTGCGAAAGACTCCGGTGGCAACTTTCTGTTGCATTGTTCGCCTCCTTTTTTCCCTTGATTCAGTTTCCGACTGTAATAGTTTTCTGCTTACTTGCTTCTTGTCTATAGAACCATCACCGTTGGCCATCATTACCATAAAAGTGCTATAAATTCTACAGAACGTTA